AATGCTTAACACCTCACTCTTTATGCTTCATAGTGTAGACCCAAGACCTTCTTGAATAATCATCAACAAAGGTCACGAACCAATGTCTACCACTCAAAGAGGGAGTCTTTGTAGGACCCCAAACATCCGAATGCACATAATCAAGAATGCCATTCGTCTGATGTACAGCAGTACCAAACTTCACTCTAGTTTGCTTCCCCAAGACACAATGCTCACAGAAATCAAGCTTACAAGTCGTGGCACCTTTTAGAAGACCTTGTTTCACAAGCCCTTGTAGAGCTTTCTCACCGGCATGGCCTAATCTCATATGCCACAATCTAGTAGTATCTGAATCAGATGTGCCCATATTTTCAGAGACTACAAATGCTTCACCTGTCACAGTGCTTCCCTGCAATAAATACAAATGGCCACATCTAGGAGCTTTCATCACAACAAGTGCACCATAAGTAACTTTCAATGTCTGTCCATCTGAATGAAAACCTGAAAACCCTTGGATTCCAAAGTACCCAAAGAAAGAAATAAGATTTTTCTTCAAATTCGGTAGGTACATACCGAACACCTGTCAAACTCTTTAACCATGCCATCATGCAACTTCAAACGAACTGTACCAATCCCTTTTGTTGTGCAATGATTGTCATCTCCCATGAACACAACGCCACCATCAAACTCTTTCAAGCTTGAAAACCAATCCTTGTGAGGAGTCATATGATGAGTACAACCCGTATCCAACACCCACTTAGTAGCACAATCAAATGATGAGGAAGTGGTTAAAGCAAAATCAGAAAAATCTGTTTCAACCTCAGCAACATTAGCTTCAGAACTTTCTTTGCCTTTGGTCTTCAATTTTGGACAATCTTTCTTCCAATGGCCCTTATTACGACAAAAGGCACATTCATCCCTTTCCAAAGGCATTTGACACATCTTCAAATTTCACAGTCTCGACCTAGAGGAAACTCTAAAGGTAGAAAACCTTTGACACATCTTCAAATGCCTTGATGAATTATGAAATGAGGTACTATCATGATTTTTATCTCTATGCCTCATTTCATAATTCATCAAGGCATTTGACACATCTTCAAATTTCACAATTTCTTTACCATGCATAATAGTGGTAACAAAATGCTCGTAAGAGTCCGGCAAGGAATTCAACAATATTAAGGCCTTATCTTCATCCTTAATATCCTCATCTAAATTTAACAAGTCGGCAATCAACTTATTAAAAGCATCAAGGTGTCTAATCATTTTTGTACCTTCTTTGTATTGGAAGGTAGAGCTTTTTCTTCAAGTGTAGCCGGTTCTCTGCACTCTTCGTCATATACTTGTCTTCCAATTTTTGCCACAACACACTTGCTACCGTCTCCCGCATCACAAAATACTTCTGAGTTTTTGCAAGGCACAACCGAATTGAAGAGCAAGCCCACAAATTTAATTTCTCCCATTCCGGCTTCGACATAGCTTCCGGCTTCTCTCCCAAAGCGGTAAGTAGATCTTGTTGAGCCAACACATCTTTGACCTCACATTGCCACATTCCAAAGTTGTTTGTGCCATCAAACTTTTCCACTTCGAACTTTGCATTTTGCACCGTAGTTCTTGCAAACCCGGAGGTGCTTCCAAAAGGATTTTCATCTTGCCCGTCTGACATCTTTGGCAACTAGACAGTACCCAAGAGCAACTAGTGCTCTGATACCAATTGTTGTGCTAGGACAGCACCAAACCTTATGGAACCAACTCAAGCTAACCCACAGGAAATTTATCAAATGAAAATGCAAGAACAAAATATTAAAGACACCAAGATTTTAACGAGGTTCCTCAACAGTCAGTGTAACTGGAGTACGTCCTCGGAGCAGTAGGAGCTCACCCAATAATCCACTATCAACCAAATGGGAGTTTACAAAGTGTTGGCAATCTCACAACCCAAATAACCCAATACACCCAATAACTCTCACTCACCAAAGAAACAAATAGAGAGAGAAATATAGTGAATAATTTCCTCTCTATACAAAACTCAAAGCTAATATACAAATACAACTTTGATTGAGTGAGTACCAACAAAGAAAGAAATCACCTTTCTTTCTTCTCTTTCTGCTCTCAGTTTTCTACTCTCTGCAGCTCTCTTTGCTCTCTCAAAGATGGACTACAAACCAGAAAATGGTGCACACAACTACCTCTCTCTTTCTCACTTCCGTATGCTAACATTCATCCATAATCATCACCCAATAAAAAATTCAAAAACATCATCATGACCATCAACTTTTCTTTTCAACAAACATAATCATGATGCCTCCTCATCATGATGTCTTTCACCTTTTTTTAATTTTGGTTTGTTTATTAGCCGAAAGTTGTTTTGGACACTTGTGGCCATTAATTCAACATAAGTTATACACGAGCTAGCTCTCAGTGAAAAAAATGTTTAGCGCATAGCGCGCACTTACGGGGAAAAAAACTAAGAAGCCTATTCGGTTGCATTAATATAGCTTAAATGTAAAATTAATTAATTGCTTACCCAAGAGCTGAACTTTTCTGCTATTTTCTCCAGCACATCTGTATCTTGTATCATCTCTAGCACATCTCTAAAATGTCCCTGATGCAGTGCCTCAGAAAACTTTTTATGTGCGTGTTCACAGCAAATCAATTGGGTTTTCACGAGTTCCTGTTGACAACAACCAATTCGAAGCATGTCAATATCTAAAAGCTCAAGAAGTTGCCTCTTATATTAGAAGTAACAATCAAAAGCTCTAGATCCTAATCACTGTTGTAAAATGTTAAAAAGTAGGAACTCCAGAAGTATTACCAGTAGGGATGAACAAAGGTCGACCAACATCAATGCTAGGTCTAATTCCAATTTGGTAAAATGGGTTATCGACGGTAATTTTATCAGCCTGCCCATGCCCACAGGAGGAGAGCACATGTGATCAGCAATACCTTAGGAAGCAAATAACTTCTTTAAACTGAGAAAAAATGCGACATATATGGTGTCATGTTCTCTTGCCGGACTGTTTCACATAATGACATTATAAGACTGAATCTGGACCGTGCATTTAAACAAAGATCAACACCATCGATGGTCTATTCACTGGAAACATAATGTTGCCACACTGGTGACAGAAGAACATAATTCAGAAACACACTGCCTTGAGAATATTCACCACTTTACGTCTCCTTTCAAGCCAGATAAGGGATGCAGGGGACGTTCCATTCTGAAAGCAATCGTCCACAATCCTCTTGACTACCTGTAATCCTTCAGATGAACCAGTAGCGGGAACACTGAACCCCTAGTTTACAGGTAAATAAAAAATCATCAAATCTATAATTCATACCTTATCTGGAGGTCGGAACACTAGAAAAACAACTATGCAATGGGACCAACGAAATCAAAAGGAACGGTAACACTTACAGAAACAATAACATAACAGCCCGTCACTTTGCAAAGTGCCTGAGTCCCAATCATATCGTAAAAAATTAGAGAATCAGGCAGAAGAAAGAATTAATTTTCTTTTAGTGGGAAGATCAGTAAAGCGCAGAATCTATATCACTTTATGCACCTTTAAAGTGGATTTCTCTGGACCTATGGGACGTCCACGCCGTTTATAGAAATTCTCCTGTACACAATTGTAGAGATTAGAAGAAGGGAAAGTAAAGTTTGCATAGCCCTCTTCATCAAGTAGGTGATGGAACACCCAAAGGCTCATATTCCTGATATAGTCCTCGTAAACAAAATTTATACTTTTCTAACATCATACAAAAGTTATATGTTCTAATCACCAGGTTAAATGGCTGAAACTAAATTGTCCCAGCTACAAATAAGGAGAGGAATTTACGAGATACCCACCATGTCAATCCCATATTTTTTTGGCCCAATCATAATCATAGTCTATTCCATTTCGTCATTTAGTAATTTTATTGCCTGAAATCAAAATCTTGAGCACTCAAATGAGAAACTAATTGAGGATAGCTGAAATAAAGACCAAAAAGAAATGCTTGGAGTTTTCAAGCAAGAAACAAAAATCAGCATAAATATCATATCTTAGATTCTTAACTAAAGGTAGATAAATTTGATTCTTAATTTTTCATTCAAATGTAAAACTGTTCTGATATAAAGCTATAGATGTATATAGGAGGATAATCATAAGCGGGATCCTGAAAAGGGGTTCCTATCCTATCTATATACATTATTACATACACACACATATTCTTGGGATGCTGTTGTCTTTAAAGAGAAAAACAACATTGCATGGAAGGAACAAAGACATTAAGAACTACTTCAAATCATTTGAACACAAAGAACAATCATAAGTTGCATATAACAAAACAATCACAAAGAATCTGGCATTTGTACCAGACGTGCAGGAAAATTTCTTGCCAAAAGGCGAGTAAGACCCTTAGCCTTGTCAAGAACTTTTGGGTCTCTAGTCTTTTCAGTAGTTGAGACTCTCATGCAATTATCAACCTGACCATAATTTGAAATAAAATCTCATCAATCCAGATACGCAGTCGAGAACACAAATATTGATAACCGATGTACAAACTTATTGAAACTGATGGGTGGCCATCACCTTGTGTTAAAGTGTTATTCCTTAATATTAGGGTTTATGTCATCTAGGGCTAGCCTTTTTCTCTCTAGCTACTACTTTGTAGCTGTTTGCATTTGTTTATTGGGTAGGTTTTTCCTTCCTTGCTTCGTCTCCTTTTAATGAGACCTCTCCCTTGTAATTTTTTTTTCATGAATACATACACACTTTGTTGAACTTAAATTTCAAAATGGTATCAGAGCAGGAACCATAGGGTCCTGCCTCTGTTGTTCAATCCATTCCATTCAAAAAAAAAATTTCTTTCTTTCTTGGTGTCTTCTGCTCTTCGTTCACTGTCATGGCAGAAAACCAAACTTTAAGCCGAGAGGCAGCAAGCTCGTCAAACACTTTATCTTCCAGTGTGATTCATGGTGAAATCAATCCAAATCTGCACATGTGCTCAGTGTTATTAAACGAGTTTAATTACCTACCATGGTCTCGCGCCATCTCTCTCTTGCCCTAGGTGGAAGATCGAAGCTAGGGTATGCCAATGGAAGCATTAAAGCACCTGAACCATCCTCTACATCGTATGGTGCATGGCATGCAAACGATCAGCTTGTTATGTCCTGGATACTTAACTCTAAGGAACCTAATCTGTCTGAACTCTCCTCTCATGTTTTGTGGGAATCTATCAAAGAGATGTATGGCAGCCAAAACAATGCTGCTCGTATATTTCAACTCAAGAAGGATCCCACTGGGCTAAGGCAAGGTGATCAATCCTTCATGCAACACCTTGGGAGCATTAAGTCCATGTGGAACGAACTTGACATGTATCGTCCACATACAACAGATTCCGCTACACTCCTCAAAAGAGCCGATGAAGACAAAGTGTTTCAACTTCTGGCAAGTCTTGGAGCAGAATATAAAGATCCTAGAAGTCACTTGCTGATGACTGCAGATCTGCCTTCGTTTAATAGTGTTTGTCAAGCTGTCCAACAGGAGGAAACTCAAAGAAAAGGCATGCACATTGAACCCAAGTCCAACTCTGAGGCAAGGGTTTTCACCAACAATCATAAACACACTGGTGAAAATTTTTTTACTAGAAAAAAGGCAAATTGGAAATGTACCTACTGCAACATGAATGGGCACATAAGGGAAAAATGTTGGATCCTAGATCCGGAGTTAAAGCCAAAGTTTGATAAGGAAGGAAGAATGATCAAAAAAGGCAAGGGAATTTTTCCAAATGCTCTCCATTCAACTAGCTCGTTGACTGGTGGTTTATCAAACTTCACTGCAAATCCCATAGATTTGATAAATGAATTTGCAAGCTTTCTTCAAAGGAGATGATGCACCACTGAGGAAAAGGAAGTGATCTCTAAGAATCTTACTGCCATGCTTGGAAAATTTGCAGGCTTCTTGAATAAGACCACAACCTAAGACAATGTTTCAGGTATTATCTCTGCCCTCTCCACTGCTCTCAATGAAATTACGCATGATTGTTGGATCATAGACTCAGGTGCCACAGATCATATAACAAATAAGTCCTCTTGCTTAGATAAGTTTCAAAATATGCCTGAGTCTTCACTTGTGTCTGTAGCAAATGGGAAAGGAGAACCTATTATAGGAAAAGGTAAACTTAAACTGTTAAGTGATGAGATTGAGTCAACAGCTTTGTATGTGCCTTCATTTCCTTTCCAGCTTTTGTCCATAGGAAAACTCACAAACACACTAAATTGCCTTGCCATATTCTCTCCTCACAATGTTGTATTTCAGGACCGAGTCACCTAGAAGAAGATTGGTGAAGGGTTTCTATTGAATGGACTCTACTATCTTTCAAAGAAGCTAAAGCCTGTTAAGCATGCTTTTGCCAGCCTAAGTCTTCCTCAAGAGTACCAACTTTGGCACCTTCGATTGGGGCATCCCTCAGAACCTGTGATGAACAACTATTTCCAAATTTTTGTAAAGCCACACATGAATGTGAAGTCTATCAAATGTCAAATGCTACTAGGATTCTTTTTGTTTCTTCCAAGTCTAGAACCAGTAAACTGTTTGAGGTTGTTCATTCAGATATTTGGGGTCATTCCCGTGTAGAATCATTTGATGGATATAAATATTATGCCACCTTTATTGATGACTATTCTCGTTGCACTTGGATTTACCTCTTAAAATTCAAAAGTGAATTCTTTGATGCTTTCAAAGACTTTCATCAATTAATCTTAAACCAATTCTCCTCTAAGTTAAACATTTTACAATCGGATAATGGCACTGAGTATACATCCAACAATATGTCTAATTATTTGAGCAATCATGGGATTTTACATCAAACCAGCTGTGTTGGTACACCACAACAGAATGGTGTAGCCGAGAGAAAAAACCGTGACTTATTAGAGAAATCCATATCTCTTATGCTTCAAATGCATGTTCCTAGAAGGTTTTGGTCTCAGGCTCTCCTCACTGCAGCCTACATCATCAACAGGTTACCTACCCGTGTATTGAATTCAAATCACCTGTTGAAGTAATGAAGGGAAGAACTATTGACATCTCACACCTGAGAACTTTTGGATGCACATGTTATGTCCATATTCAAGCTGCACATCGAGACAAGCTCGATCCCAGAGCTGTCAAGAGTGCCTTCATGGGATACTCGAGCACTAAAAAATGATACAAATATTACAATCCTCTTAATGGAAAGATTGGTGTCTCAAGGGATGTTCGATTTGGTGAGAATGCTTCATTCTTTCACAAAAATAGCAGTGAAGAACCTCAGGGGGAGAACCTACTGGACATTTTTCCTCTGCCCACTCCAGCAAATTTACATGAATTCAATGTTTATCTCGACCACCACTCAGAACAACATGATGATGAGGAAACATCTCCTGATCAAGGAAGCTCAAGCACTACTCCTCAACCTGTCTTGGCACCACGATGAAACCTTACTCGTGACAGGCATCCTCCTCTAAGGCTGCAAGAGTATGTTACGTACACGGCAAGACATCCCATTTCCAAAGCCTTAACCTATCAAAAATTGTCACCATCCCATGCAGCCTTTCTACATCAACTGTCCACTAATGATGAACCAAGAAATTTTAATGAAGCTGTTCACATTCCAGTATGGCAGAAAGCTATGAAAGAAGAGCTTTAAGCACTGAACAACAACCAAACATGGAGTGGTTGATCTTCCAAAAGGAAAAAGGGTCGTAGGGAGTAGGTGGATATACAAGACCAAGTTTCATTCAAATGGCAATATTGAAATACATAAGGCTTGTTTAGTAGCCCGTGGCTTTACTCAAACTTATAGCATTGACTACAAGGAGACATTTGCTCCCGTAGCCAAAATGAGTACTGTACAAGTGTTGTTATCTGTGGCAGTCAATCTCGATTGGTCCCTATTTCAAATGGATGTGAAGAATGCATTTCTTCATGGTGACCTCGAAGAGGAAGTGTACATGAAGCTTCCTCCCGGACATCCATAAAAGCATGAAACTAACAAAGTTTGCAAGCTCCATAAGGCCATATATGGACTGAAGCAATTTCCCTGAGCCTAGTACTCGAAGTTAAGTTCAGTCCTTGAAGCTGCAGGATTCACAAGGAGCCATGCCGATTCCTCGTTATTTGTTCGCACTGGTAAAAGTGGCAAACTAGTTGTTCTTATATATGTTGATGATCTTATTATAACAGATGATAACATAGAAGAAATCAATGCCCTTAAATCCTCTCTTCATCAACAATTTTCCATTAAGGATTTGGGAATCTTAAAGTACTTTCTTGGCATTGAAATGGCTACTTCCTTCAAGGGTTTGTTCTTAAATCAAAGGAGGTATGTTCTTGATCTATTGGATGAAGCTGGCATGTTGAATTGCAAGCCCGCTTCTACTCCTTTGGTGAGTAGACTTCAAATAGATGCACCCAGTGAACCACTACCAAACCCTAGGGTTTATCAACGTGTGGTAGGAAAACTAATCTACCTCACTATCACCAGACTTGATATTGCTTATTCTGTAAGTTTTGTCAGTCAATTTATGCACTCTCCCTCGATGATTCACTGGGAGAGTGTCAAAAGGATACTCAGATACTTGAAGGGATCCATTGGCAGAGGTTTACTCATGCAAAAACATGGTTCAAATCATATCATGGCATACACTGATGCTGATTGGGTGGGTAATGCCCTCGATCGCAAGTCTACCACTGGTTTCTGTACTTTTGTTGGTGGCAATCTTATGACATGGAAGAGTAAAAAACAAATCGTGGTTACAAGATCAAGTGCTGAGGCTAAATATAGAGCCATGGCAGCCACGACTTGTGAATTAATATGGTTAAAAAAGTCTCCTAACGGATCTTGGTTGCGTCAACAAGGAACCTATGTCCTTGTTTTGTGACAACCAAGCTACCATGAATATAACTTCAAATCCGGTATTCCACGAAAGAACAAAGCACATTGAAGTTGATTGCCATTACATCTGAGCACAAGTCCAATCCAAAGTCATCAACACCGTGTACACTCGAAGTAATGATCAACTTGCTGACTTGTTTACAAAAGCTCTCGACTTTACTCATTTCCAAAGATTGCTGAGCAAGCTTGGATCAATCAACCCCCTTGATCCAGCTTGAGGGGGAGTATTTAAACTGATGGGTGGCCATCAGTTCATGTTAAAAGTGTTATTCAGTTTGTGTTAAAGTGTTATTCCTTAATTTTAGGGTTTATGTCTTCTAGGAGATTTCTTGTGAGTTGTATCTAGGGTTAGCCTTTTTCTCTCTAGCTACTACTTTGTAGCTATTTGCATTTGTTTATTGGGTAGGTTTTTCCTTCCTTGCTTCGCCTCCTTTTAATGAGACCTCTCCCTTGTAATTCTTTTTCATGAATACATACACACTTTGTTGAACTTAAATCTCAACAAAACTCAACATAAGACTTTCCGTAAACAACATTTATTATGACATACCAGTTCACCTGACATGTCATGCTCTAGTAGAGCAGATTCTACCACCGGCCAAACCTATGTTATATTATTTTCTGCACATAACAAGGCAAAGGCAGACAGAGAGATGAAACAGTTTAGTTCGAGGGTACAGTGTTACCCTAAGATTTAGCCAATACAATTTGAAATAGTTTTAAGCCCTTTCGTTTCTATTAAAATTGGATGGTTTCAGTTTTCACCATCCACCAGAGGCCATCTGAGTGCCTGAGACATACCAAAAAAGCATTACATATATGCGTTAGATATTGTGGGGATGTATGGGTCGTACCCAGTGCACAAGGCTCCCGCTTTACGCAGGGTCTGGGAGAGGTGAATGTCGGCTAGCCTTACCCTCATTTATGGAGAGGCTGCTCCCAAGTCTCGAACCCGAGACCTACCGCTCATGGGCGAAGGCACTTGTGGGATTATAAAGATAGTAAATCCGGTACTGTTCACTTTAACGAAAAACCACATTTTACACTAAAACGTCAATCCTGATACTATTCACTTTACCCTTTATTTTGTCATTTTTGTTAAAACTTAAAGTTTTCAAACCCTTTTCATTAGGTACGCCCATATATGAAACTCTCATTTTATCCAAACCTTATTTCTTTCATCCCGATCAACGACTCGATCACCATACAGATACCAAATTGGGTAACACTAACAGTTTCTCCTCAAAAGAACTTGAGCCAACAATTTCCTGAAACCCAATATAAATAGCCTATTACGGTGTTTGTCAAGCAACAAAGTAGAAGCACCAAAAAGATTTGTGCTTTTGAAAAGTTAGGGCCCGTTTGGATAGAGGGCATTCCATGTGGATATAATTATAAGGGTTTTTATCACAAATAGTCCCTGACATTGATCAAACACATCATTTTGGTCCCTGACATTGAAAATCAATAGAAATGGTCCCTGACATTGATCAAACACATCACAAATGGTCCTTCCGTTAAAAACTCTTTGGGCAATTTTCAGAGCTTCGTAACTCATCGTTTCTTAACCAAATTCGACCCATGATATATCAAAATGAAGATAGGAAAGTGTGGAACAAGATTATACCTATTTGGAAGCCCAATAGTTACCAGAAGATGGCCGGAAAATAGCCTCAAATGTGACTGGTTTGCGGAAAAAACTGGAAAACTCGCCGGAAATTGGGTAAACTTTAAAACATTCATAACTTTCTTCAATACTCAACAAAATTGAGTGATTCAAAAAATGAAAAATCATAGTTATCAATGAGAAAAAGAGATTGGTACCTTTATTGACTGCTAATTCACCGTGGTTTAACCGGAAAAATGGCTAGAAATTGGATAACCATTTCAAGTTAGCCAATTCCGAGCCCCTTTTTCGGCTAAACTATGGCGTGTTAGCCATTCAAGAAAGATATCA